ATATTTATTGATCTAACATCACTTTAGAAAATAATTACCTTAAAATAATTTTTTAAAAAATTATTATGCTTAATTCATAAAGTATTATTCCTGTGTTCACATTTAAGGCAATATTGATTAGTTTCTGACAATAGAATTTTGTCCTGTGGTTTAAATAAATATCATCTCTGTGGCCCTGTTTACATTTATCCCTCATTGCTAGCTTCTCATGCTACTAAATAAAGAGCCTTCAGCCTGCTACTGTAGTAAATATTTAATTATGTTCTTATCTGGCGTATTTTATGTCTGAATTGTATTATTTGCCTAATTGAGATGATAATCAATGGAAATTAGAACTTTGAATCTCCTACAAATTCAACGAAACATTTTAGAGCTTCTATTTTTATACAGTCAAAAATAGAAAATAAGAAATATACCCCCAGTCTAAATCTTTAAAGTTTTCTTGTGATTCTCATTTATTTAGCACTTAGACTAACAGAGTATCTTCCCAAAGCCCTGAAAATGTCACTTCAATTTTCTTTCTCCATCCCTTCCCAACACATAGGGATATTAAATATTAATAAAATTAGAAATACAATTTGCTGATACCACACCCCTCAAATTAAATTAATAATAAAAAAATCATGGTGGTTATGATGTATGTGGGTATGTACAAAAGATCAAGCAGGATAGTTTCTCTCTGTGTCTCTCTCTCTCTCTCTCTCTGACTCTCTCTCCCCCCTCTTTCTCTTTCTCTCTCTCTCTCTCTCTCTCTCTCTCTCTCTCTCTCTCTCTCTTTCTCTCTCTCTCTCTCCCTCACTTTTTTTCCAATCAACTAACAGGTGGAACTTCCTTAGCCAAGGAAGCTGATACACTGAGTAGCTAGTGCAAGGAATCTGTCTTAGACAATATGCTTTTATGGGGATCTTTTTTCCTTTTTTTCTGTGATTCAAGTTTGTGAAAGAAGAGAAGTTTAAAGAAGAAACAGCCAGTCATCTCATATCTCCAGGAGACTGTTATTTATATGAATATGCATATACATACATATACATATATGTATACATACACACAAAAAAATATATATGAGAGACAGCTATTGTCTAGTGAGAATTTCATGGAATATTTGATTGAAGAAAGAAGATTCAGATAGAAGGTAGAGATGTGTCTGGAAGGCTTTGAAAAGACAGCTATCGTGTCTTAAAGAGAAAGGTTGTATTTAAACAAATGCATTATGTAGAGGCACCTAGAGAATTCCGTAAGTCTACAAGAGTGGCTCAGTCTACAGACGATGATGCTTGCACTAGGTGTTTTGCATGCATTAATGCAAACTCCAGGCTCCAAACAGTCCTGCGCAGTGGGAAGTGCTCTCTAAAGTTAGAGAACAGGTGAGTGAAGCATGTGGAGATTGATGTGCTGGAGGTGGTTGGTACACACATGGATTCTGTGGAGAGATTCAGAGACAGGTCAACCAGGTTCAGATTCACCAAGCGGGAGCTGTGGCAGAGTGCTCAAAAGTGCCAGCCTTCCTGTCCCAAAGAAGCTCGGGGCTTGGGCAAAGCTTAGGGCACCGTTTCCCAAGGCCAAAGAAGCATTGGGAGCAGTCATTTAAAAGAGATTTAGGGGCTGGAGGAATGGCTTGAGGTTTAGAATACTTGTTCTTGCAGAGGACCTAGTTTGATTCTCAGCACCCACATGGTGGCTCACAACTATCTGTAACTCCTGTTCTAAGGGATCTAACACTCTCTTCTGACCTCCTCAGGTACCAGGCATGCACATGATGCATATACATACATGCAAGCCACACATCTATATACATAAGGAAAACTAAAATTTAAAAAACAAACAACTACAACAGAAAACCCCAGAGATTTCTAAGCTTCTCTGTGGATTCTGATCCTGTTGGTGTGGAATGAGGTCTCAAATTTGTACATTTAGTAATCCCTGGGTGATTCTGTTTGATCAAACAAGTTGGACACATTTGCTTAATTTGGTTAATGAATAATAGGAATTGAAGTATCTAACTCCTAGCTGATCCTAAAATTTTTGATTTGGGGAAAAAGATTTCCTAGGCTGGATCTCATAAACCCCAGGCTGGTGTTCACCTCTCTCTGTCATCAAGGATAACTCCAAACTTCTTCCCCTTCCACTGTCTCCCTAGGGCTAGAGTTGCAGACATTCACTACCGTGGCTGATTTGTGTAAATGCTGGGGTGGAACTCAGGGCTTCCTGTATGCAACATAAGCACTCTACCAAGTGAGCTGAATCTGCATCCTGAACTTTGAGAAACACTGTAAAGACTAAACAGAACATGGGCTCTATTCTCTAGTGAAGTAACATTGGTGGTTGACAAGCACCCTGTAAAATTAATAGATGTGCATAGAAATAAATTATAGACTATTGCCTGTGGGAAGAAAACTGGACATTTTGCCATTGAAAACGTCTTTTACAGGGCTGGAGAGACGGTAGTTGAGAGCATTTGCCATTCTTCTAGAGGACCTGGATTAGGTCAATTCCCAGAACCTACATGGCGGCTCACAACTGTCTGGAACTCACATTCTAGGGTGTCTGCAGCCCTCTTCTGGCCTCTGAGGAAACCAGGCATGCACAGAGTACACAGATATACTTGCAAGCAAAAATTCATATACATAAGATAGAATATTTTTAAATCTTTTACTTTTTTTAAACGTCTAATAGGTTGCTTTAAAAGTGAAGAAATGCAACCAAGCACAGTAGTATACTTCTTTACTTCCAAACACATGAAAAGAAGAGGCAGGACATTCTCTGTGAATATAAAGCCAGCCTGGGGTGGTGGGGGGGTGGGCTGGAGAGATGGCTCAGCAGCTAAGAGCCACTCTTCCAAAGGTCCTGAGCTCAATTCCCAGCACCCACATGGTGGCTCACAACCATCTGTAGTGAAATCTGATTCTCTCTTCTGGTGTATATGAAAACAGAGCAATCCTATACATAAACTAAATAAATAAATCTAAAAAGAAAGAAAGTAAGAATAAAGCTATCCAGCTCTCCTGGTCTACATAGTGAGTTCCAGGCCAGCCAGAACTACACAATGAGACCCTGTCCCAAACGAATCAGTAAACAAGCAAACAAACAAACAGCTAACTTATCAAACAAGTGCCTAAAGCAATCTTGGCTAAATGTTATTGTTTGAGATTGCAGAGGTGAAAGGTATACACATTTTATCAAAATTTAACATAACTATTATGGAAAATCTCCTTATTACAGTCACCTCCCCCGTCTGACAGTAGGCTATAAGACACTTGTCATCTCAGAGGGGTCCTGTGTCATCCTCAGGAGAAAGAGATACAAAAGAATGGATACACACAGGCATTATTGAGTCTACCCACTCAGCCTGTTAGCAGTCTTCCCTATGTGACTCCATTTCTAAAAGGTTTAGAGAGCTTCCAGACCCATGAGCATGTGGAGGGTCTTGGAGAGAGAACACTGAGGAAAGCCACTGAAACACCATCCTTTCTCCCACACTTCACCTGTCAATCTTTTTTTTTTTCTATATTCTCTGTAATGATGTACACAAAGGGTAGCTATAAGGATTTTCCTGAATCTGTGAGCCACTCAAATAGATTAGTCAAGTGCCAGGAGAGAGCTATGGAAATCTCACTTTGCAGGCAGTAGACAAGTAAAAACAAGCCGGGTCTCATGACTGCCATTTTAAAGCACACGGCACTAAAGAGGTAGCAGTCTTGGAGAGTGATACTCAACATGTAGGGCCTGAGTTTCAAAATTATTGGATTAGATGTCCACTGTATTTCATAGACACTGCTGATGCTCACTGGATTGGATTGATGCTGTTGACGTCCACTGCTTTCCTGCTTGTGGGAGGAAGTCTCCATACCTTTTGAGGTCACAGGCATCTTTTTTGGTGATTTTTTTTTCTAGACACAGAGTGATTCTAGGTGAATAATTTAGGCATTGTAACCTATTGTTAATCATCCTACTTAAATACAGTCACTGTGGTACTGCCGCTCTGGTGGCTTGTCTTCTAACCAGTCAGCTACTAGAAATAACTAGCAGACGGGTTGCATATACAATGTGACTATATCGGACAAAAGAAGGTTTACTACCAAGTGGGATGGAGTCAGACTGTGTGAGATTTCCCCACATAACTCAGAGTGATGGACAATCTAGAACGCGTTGTTCAATTGTGGACATTATCACCTAATACTTCCGCACCTTGGCTGATCTTGGAAAATGAAAGCACAGATAAGGAGACCTGGAGAAGTGACTCCTGAGGAGAAAATGTCGTGTATTGTAATGCTGAAAGTTCATTTGTTGGTTGACTTTGTTGCCTGCTAGCTGTATACTCATTCTTATTCACTAAGCCTCAACTTTTAATTTAAATATAGAGAACTATTTACTTCGTTGTATGCAAATATTTAGAATGGTATTTGAAAAGAAACGGAATGTAATTGAGTCAGCAACAGATGGCTCAATGATAGCTATTATAAGCATACTTAATACTTAAACATACTTGATGTAACTATTCACAAATCACAAATAAATTTAACAAAAAGAATTGAAGGATTTGCATTAGCACCTAGAGGTGCATGGATGCAGAGAGTCTTTACCACTTAGTACTGTTTGTCAAAATAAAACAAACAAAAAACCCCACAAAAAACTAGCCAAATAGAACCTATCCTTTTGGATCACAATTTTGAAACATAATAGAAAAAAAGAAAACAACACAGTGTACAAACTGTCAATACGGAAAGAAAAAAGGAAAAGGGGAAAAAAGAATCAACGCCTGGCTCGACGCGTAGAAGAGCATGGGGAAGTGCCAAACAGCCAAGTTTGCACAGCCTCCCAAAAAATGCTCCGCGTCTGTACAGGGAAGCTTCCCCATCTCCCAGGCAACCGGCGCCCCAGCCAATCGCAGCTGAGTACTGGGGTCACGTGGGCCGACCTGGCAAAATGGCGGCGCTGCTGGAGGCGCGGCTGGCGGGCTCTGGAGTCTGAGTTTCTCCACCTGAGCTCTCGCGACAGAGAGGATGGCGGACTCTGCGAGGGCAGACTCGCGTGGGCGCCCGCCCGAGCTCCCTGAAGACCTGTCCTCACAGGAAGAGGAGGAAGGGGACTCCGACGCCGGGGCCAGCAGCTTGGGCTCCTACTCCTCAGCCAGCAGTGACACGTAAGGCTCCAGGAGACTGCCGGTCCTGTGTCCTGGGCACGCACGCATGGGGAACGGGGTGCTGGCCTGCTTGCTGCAGTTTCTGGATAAGAGAGTCCCTTCCTTCTGGTGGGTTCTGTGAACCTTACCCTGCAGCACTACCTTCTTATTTCACTTGTGTCTTAGACTCCAGAGCATTCTTTAACATTTATTTTTATTATTTTTTATTATATGTACCTGTGTGTCTTTGTGTGGGTATCTGCACATGAGTACAGGTGCCCACAGAGGCCAGCAGAGGGCATTGGAGCCCTGTAACTAGAGTTTCCTGGGTTGTGAGCCACCGTGTTGGTGCTTGGAACTGAACTCCAGTCTTCTCCAAGAGCTGCAAAGGCACCTAACCTATGAAGCCCCAATGCACCCTCAGACTCCTAAGTATTTACTGGGGGAAAACACCATACACACACTTTATAAAGCAACTATTTTATATTGGGGAGATGTTTTTTTCTCTTGTGGAAATGATAGCAGAAAGAGGAGCCTCACTATCAAGACATCTTCTCTGGCTTCAGGATATTCATGCTGTATTTTTCTATTCAACCTCAGAGTTTTTTATTTCAAGCCAGAATCATTGGTAATGCTATAAATGAGTTATTTCAAGTCACAATATTTCAAGTCTTAAGGAATCTATCCCTGTTGCTATGGATTAAGGACTTATTTGAAAAGCTACTGGTAACTTACAGTGAATGATTCCCAGTGAAAGGGTTCAGGCCACTGTGTACCCAAAGGCCATTCATAGTTTTAGGAGAACATTTTATGTGCAGTTAGAACTAGCAGTTACAAATAATTGTGACCATCTTCAACCAACAGTATATAACATGTTCTTTCGTTTTGTCACTAAAAGTAAGGGAAAACCCTGCTTAAATTCACTCTAGAAGCTTACTACAGAGGGACTGTATTCTTAAAACTTTGAACAGATGTAAGAATTTCAACTTTGTAAGCTGTTGTTGTCATCTTAAAAACTGATGTAAAATTTTGTGGTTTATTCTAGATTCACATCCATTTCTGTGATAAGAAATTATGACCAAAGGCAACTTAGATCCCAGGCCAGGGTCCATTATGAGCGAAGGACTTGAAGGCAGGATCTTGAAGCAGGCCTGCTTTGCCATTCTACATAGCAGTACTTCCAATCAGAGAACTCACTTCACAGCCAAAGCTGCAAGGCAGAAAACATGGGGGGCAATGCAGGCTGGCAGGCAGGCAGACATGCTTAAGCCAGCTAGCTTTTTAAAGTAGTTTCAGGACCACAGTGGCTTGGGACCTACACCAATTATCAATCAAGACAATCCCTTCTATGCCCACAGATCCATCTGACTTAGGGCACTTCCTCAGTTGAGATTTTCTTCCTAGCTAATTCTAGGTTGTATCAAACCTGGTTAGTTAAAGCTAACCAGGACATGGCCATGTCACCAGTTTCCTGGAGGGAAATGGACATTGCAGAATGGTATTGTGCTATGGAAGCCTTAGATGAGGCCCTCATGCTTGATTTCTCCGCATCTGAGTCACACACTTTTATCCTAGAAATAATTTGTACTGTTACCATGGACACAGAAACACCGACCTAACTCCTGACAGAGTATCCAGCATCCAGTGGGATTTTCTTGAGAAGCTTGTAGGAAAACCTGTATTTCATGGTCTAGAGTACATGTGTCTATGTCTTTATCAGTCATTTACCAATCACTCCAAATATTCCAGGGTTCTTGTCTTGATAATACACCCTTATTGCAAAGTGTTCAGCTGATTATTTCCTTCCAAGATTCAGATTTTTTTTTTCCTTCATTGGTATGTGTAACATGAGGGGGAAATTGCTGGCCTGCCTTGGGAAGGTTTTGTTCAAATATTTTGTTATAATATTAGGTACTTACTGCCATAAGCTACAGTTTCATGCAAGCTGGGTCATCCTGCTTTGGGAAGAACCACTCCAGTGGAAGGCTTCAGACTGACTCTGAACCTTTCAAATCAGAGAGATACAAATTGCCTGTTACCCCTGTGATCTCTATGAAGCGTAGAGAGAAAGGCATATTCCATATCCTGGACTTTCAAGATTCCCATTACTGACTGACTCTTCTTTTTTTGCAAGTTATTATTTCGTGCATGTTTGTAATCAAAATGCAGCTTGTCCTGCATATGATCACGTTAGTAAGTTTATTATTTTTGAGATGAAATTGCCTTAGGATAACATCCTGGTAAGCTTTTAAAAATATTTAATGTGTGCATATATGTGTCTGTGTGTGTATTTACATGTGTGTGTATGTGTATATGTGCATATGTATGTATGCTTGCTTACAGTTACCATAACAAAAGTATGGAGGTCAGAAGACAACTTAGAAGAGTTGATTGTCTCCTCCCTACCCTGTGGGTTCAGGGCATCACACATAGGTCATAAAACAACAAATGCCCTGACTTGCTGAGCCATTTCTCTGGCCCTGGGTTATTCTTTTAGTAGATTTATTTTTGGCTTGTTTTAGAGGGAGGTTTTAGATGGAAGATACCATTATGTCTAAACCTGGTACATGGGCTTCAGAGACAAAACTGGCGAGAGAACCAGGTTAAGGGACCCACTGATTGCTTCAGGATAATAAACCAGGAATTTCCTTAGCAGTGAAGCCAGTTGTCTGTGCTTTGCTGTGCAGTTACCAGTTCACTGAAGCAACATTGATTATCAATTTAATGATATCAATTTAAAAATTTTAAAGTGTTTTTTTTCTGTCATTGTTAGTTTTATAACTAGGATTGAGGGACAAGAAGAGGGGTGACCATAAAATAGATTCTAGCTGAGAAACTTCTACTTTAACTAAGGCTGGCTGGAGAAGAAAGCACATACTGCCTTGACGTGCCTGAGGCTTTCAGTCACTTCATGAAGGCATGTGTGGAGACCTGCACTTCCATCCATCAGCCTCGCACACTGTATCTCACCCAGATGTGTCTCCATCGGTCTGAGACCATGCGTTCCCTCTCTCCCTATGACCGCTCGCTTTCTACCACTGCAGGTGGGTTTGTATTTTCCAGAGTTTTGAAAAAACAGTTTAGTCTCTGTTTTATCTTTTTTATTTTGTTACTATAGTAGTTCTCCCCCCCTCTCGGGTTTGGCGTGGCCATGAGTGACTTCAGTGACTAACAGGATCATATTCATGGTGCCATATTTTCTCCTGTTCTGAACCCTGGCTTTTCTTTTAATTAGTTCTCTTACAAACTCATGTAGTTTAATACGATAAGGAACATGGAAGTGGATCAATGCTAGGAAGGGTAATTCCCAGCTGCCACTTCAGCCCACTGGTAGTTGAGTGTGTTAGAGGGAATTCTCTTCCTGCCTTTCCTCATCCTCTCTCCACCATCTTGGTTTACATCTTTAGACGTGATTGTTGTGCTCACACCCTGGGCTCTCCCCTCTCCACTCTGCCTTACTGCAGGGGCTTGCCTCTCCTCTCTCACACACTCCATGGGCCTCACCTCTAACAGATCCAGATGCTCTGCCTCTATTTTCAGTCATTCGGCTGCAAGAACTTACTTTCTCAAACACAGTTCTAAAGGCTGGAGAGATGAGCCAGGTATGGTGGTACACATCCTTGACCCCCGAACTTAGGAGGCAGAGACAGGAGGAGGATCTCTGTGAGTTTGAGGCCAGCCTGGTCTACAAAGAGAGTTCCAGGTTAGCTGGGCTACACAGAGAGACCCTATCTTGAAAACCAAAAACAATAACAAAAAAGATTAGAGAAATGGTTCAATAATTAAGAACATAGCATGTACTGTTTTAGGGGAAGACCGGAGTTTGATTTCTAATACACAGGAACACACACACAAACACACGCATGCACAATTCTCTTCCCCATCAATAATCTCTTTCTGGTTTTCTGGATTCTGTGGTCACTTCAAATTAAGCACACAGGTTTAAGATTTGTCACTAAGATCCATAAGATCAAGCAAGTTAACATTCCAGTCTGGAGGGAAGAGGTTCATGAATCCCTACCCCTAACTGAGGTATGATGGATGGTCCATGGTTTCTGAGAAAGGGAGTGGTTCCTAATAAGTGTGCTACGCTCCAATATATCACCCCATATCCAGGAATGTGTAGAAGCACTACTGGTCTTGATGAATTCTTTAAATAATAATAATAACACAAAGTTGTGGGGATATAGGTGGGGGTGAGTCTGAAAGTTGTTAATGGGGGAAGTTGGGGTGAATATGATCAAAATACAGTTATGTGAAATTATCCAAAGAATTAATAAAAGTATTTAAAATAAATCTTTAAAAGACAACACAGTTTTAAACCATGTTTCCTGCTCTTCTCAAAAGCTCGGTGGCTCCCCATCCTTAGATTCCATAAGATAACTTTGAAAGTTCTTTTCCTGGCTTAGTTCGTCTTTGTTCTGTATGTAGTATACATAATAGGTGTGTGTGCCCATGTACTCATTGAGACCAGTGGTGGACACTGGCTGTCTTCACCTATCAGAAAGGGTCTCTCACTGAGCCTGGAAGTAGGCTGACAGTCAACAAACCCCAGTAATTCTCCTGTTCATTCCTTACGGTGCTGAGGTTCTGTGGTGGTTTGAAAAGGAATGGCCCACATAGACTAGTGTGTTTGAATGCTTGGCCCATAGACAGTGGCACTATTAGCAGGTGTGGCCTTGTTGGAGGAAGTGTGTCAGTGTGCGGTGGGCTTTGAGTTCTTTTATGCTCAAGCTACACCCAGTGTAGCACAGTTTCCTTCTGCTGCCTGTTGATCCAGACTAGAACTCTCAGCTCCTTCTCCAGCACCATGTCTGCCCGCACTCTGACGTGCTTCCCGCCATGATGATAATGAATAAAATAAAAGTGCAATAAAGCCTTAGCATAGCGTACATGTGCAGCTGATCTATGATTTTTATTCTGCCCATATTGGATTATAATCTAATTTAGCAATATAGAGGTGTGCCCCGTCGGCTGCAGGGTGAGGGGTGACAGTGGGCTCCTCAGGAGCATAGCTGCAG